GACAGGTTTAACAAAAGGTGCAGTTGCAAAAGGAATGGCTTAGAGAGGCATTATGTTGAGAGGATTTAAGTCTGATGTACCAGAATCAAAACATGAGCTAGTCCTGGAAGACTTATCACTCACCACTACAAATAATACTTTTTATGACGAAGATTTCACCTCTAACATGCCAAAAACCGAGCTTATAAATTCTGGGAGAGACATGTTTGATTTTTTTTGAAAAAATAACTTTTTCCCTCGGTTTTTATATAAAACCGATGTAATATAGCAATAAGTGAGCGCCAAATCTTCTGGAAAAAAAATTAAACCTAATATCTCGGTGTTTTCTAAAAACCAAGGTAACATAGCTATTAGGGAATACACTTTGAATCCCAGTAACTGCATTTAAGGTTTTTCAGTGATTTCTCACTTAGCACCTTCCAATCATCCCTTTTTTCTTAGTTAATTAATTTTTTTCATTTTTATTTATTAATTAGTAATTCTCAAAAAACAATTGTTATCAATAAAATTGAATAGGTAATAATATGAAAGGAAATATTTCATTAATTAAAAACGGGACAACAAATAACAATTCCACATATTCAAATTTCTGACTCCACTCAACATCAATAGTATCACTATTAACTATCCCTAACTTAGAGAAAATCTCATAAAGAAATCTTCTATATGGTATGAAGAAAGTCATTTCATCCCTTTAGATGATTGTTGCAGTGAGAATCGGATACCAAGCTATTGATTAACTTGAATCTTAATTCATTGAAATTCACCATTGAGCTTTGATGTATCCAAAGGGAAAGGTTAAAGAAAGAAAAACTTTTTGCGCGATGTAACAACAATGCTAGAGTTTCGAGGATCAGGGGTTGGTTATGCCTAGTTTAGTTATTTCATATCCTAAAAATATGTAGTACTCTACAGGAACCTTTTGCATATATGTATGATAAGTTATCTAATTTGTTTGCTAAGGACATGGGATCAAGGTTAAAGGTAAAGACCTAAGGATAGTTCTAAGTTTGCTCACAAAGATATTACATCTTATGCCTACGTATCCTTACTAGGATGGAATCATAGCCTCCATAGTTCTCCTCGCTAAGGTTGAGGAATAGTTGACTATGGTCAAGATTCAAAGGGGGGGGGAACAAACATATCAATGTTTGTATGGAGTTTGACAAAACTCTCTAGATCTAAGTTTAACACTCAAAGGGATTGACTTTGACAAAAGCCAAGAGGGGAGTAAGTAATCATGACAATGATCTTACATAGAGTTAACAAACTTTATCTTAAAGTTTTAATTGAAGGATACTCCTAACAGGGTGGGACTTTAGACTTAAAGAAAATTCTAATGGATATAGGTTCTAAATTAACTAAGTTAAAGAACCTAATGACTTAACCAAGTCAAAGGGAGGGGTAATGAGCTATCTATGACAGTGAAGTCAATAGAGAGACCTTCCTTTGAAGTAAGGGATAACAAGGCAACTGGATGAGAGCTAACAAGCTTCATCACTTGGGAACATAAACTTAACAAATCCTAAAAACACAATATGCATTCATTCAAACATAATGAAGAATAAAGTCAAGGTAACAATCAAGAAAGCTAAAGGCAAGCATGTAACCACATCAAGCAAGGAACAAGGTTAAAACCAAGTACTTAACAATGAAAGAATCAAATCAAATGGTTACAACTAAAGGTAAACATAGATGTTACAACATCTAAAAGTGGATGATGATAAGGTTCTTACAAGACCAAACATCACAAGCATAAGTGAATCATGCATAAGTCAAAACATTACTTATCATGGCAAAAGTTCAAAGATTAACATGCACAAATCATGACTACATTTAATCATGGATACATATCAAGTAGAGGTAACAAACAAAACAAACATGAACAAGAATGTTACATGTATGACAAAAACAAGTGATTTATGGTGAATCATGTTAAACAAAGAAGGTAACAACCAACATGGGCAAGTATGAAGTATGTGTAACAATAACATTTTCATCAATGGTATTCAAACAAACTTCATGCAAACAAGTTACAAATTGAATCAAACATGGTATATGAATCAAATATAGGCAAATTTAATAACATTAAAACATGTTCAAGACATGTTGATGACTATCAATCATGGATAGGCAAGAAAAGTAACAACTGTTCAAGCATGGATTCAAACTTCACAAAGGGAAAGATGAACAAGAAAAGTAACAACTGTTCAAGCATGGAAAAAAAACATATATATATATATATATATATATATATATATATATATATATATATATATATATATATATATATATATATATATATATATATATATATATATATAATATATATATATATATATATATATATATATATATATATATATATATATATATATATATATATATATATATATATATATATAAATTCACATGATATAGAAGAAGTCTATACGATGAAAAAAGAAATTCTCCTTTGATTTTCTGTGCTCGAATGAGTTTTTTCAAAGTGGTCACATGACCTCTTGCGTCTGTTATTTTTCTCTTTCCCTACATAATCTAGTTCTTTTAATTATACAACCTGTCGTGACACTAAGTGCAAACTAGTTTTATCACTACATTCATAACACATGTAATCTTTGATAAAATTGTTTTAAGTGTGGTCCTTAGAGCGAGCTAGAAACTTTTAAAAATGATCTCAAATCTTCATTAAATGGTCCTTAAGCTAGAATCTTTTCTAAATGATCTCAAATCTTCAAAATATGGAAAAGTTCTTAGTTAAACATAATTTACAAACAACAAATCATAACTTTTTATAATTAAAATTTAATTTTAAATAAATTTTATAAAATTAAATATATATAAATATATATATATATATATATATATATATATATATATATATATATATATATATATATATATATATATATATATATATATATATATTAAATATTAATATGATATAGGTGCGTTTGGATGCACGTATATTTTTTTAATATGATCCTATATTTTGATATGTCAAAATTTTAATTATTAGACATTTTATTTGTAGTGTTTTTTTACAAGATAAACTTTTTAGGTTTCTCGTGTCATTTAAGCTTCATATTTATCTTAACTTACTGAATAAACTTTTATATATTTAAATACAAATATTTAAATTTAATTTAATGATTTTTAGAGATGAAAGTATGATTTTCTAAATGACTCTAATATATATATATATATATATATATATATATATATATATATATATATATATATATATATATATATATATATATATATATATATATATATATATATATATATATATATATATATATATATATATATAGTTTCAACTTCAGAAACACTTTTTTTACTGTTTATTTAATTTTAAATAACAGATTAATCCCGCACTTAAATTATATGATCTTAACAATAATAACTATTAATTTAATAACAACAATTAAAAAAATAACTATTAATTTACTAACAACAATTAAAAAAAATCTCTATAAGAGTAATACTATAAAACAAATTATTAAAACCTAAAGCACTCTTAAATATAAAACTTTATTATTATAAGCATAGAAAATTCAATACATAAAATTTAAAATACACATATACATAAAATTTGAGTGTGGCTCAAATCTTTGAAATTTATTAGATAACTAAAACACTCATACAAGATATGCATGCATATTAATAGCATTGTTTTGTAGTAATTCAGTTTCTAAACAAACTCAACTCCTGAATTAAAGCATTCAAATCACAATAAGATGATCCTTCTTTTTCCACAGCCTTCTTAGCTAACTCTGACAAAACTTTCACTCTCTTCCTCATTTCCTCTACTTCTTCACCTTCCATAATCCTCTTCACTGCCTTTTCCAATGCATCCCAATGAACCTCATCTCCCACCAAACCAACCCATTTTTTAGCACCAACAGGAACACCAATTTTAAGCACCTCAGTCAACAACTTCTCATTGTAAAACTGCTCAGAAGACATAGGCCAAGTAACCATAGGCACCCCTGCAATGACACTTTCCAAAACCGAATTCCATCCACAATGAGTCACGAATGCACCAACTGCTTCGTGTTCAAGAATCAACACTTGTGGTGCCCAATCTCTAATTATCATTCCTTTTTCTTCCATTCTCTTCTCAAATCCTTCCGGTAACCATTCTTCTCCGTCGTCTTCATTTTTCCTAACCACCCAAATAAATTTCTGTCCTGAAGCCTCAAGTCCCATGGCAATTTCTCTAAGCTGAGAGTTACAAAAGCGTGCCATACTACCGTGGCACACGTAAACAACTGAGTTTGGTTTCATCGTATCAAGCCATTTTAGATACATGTCTTGAGGTTGATTCACAGAAGCTTCTTTATTCCAAAGAGGCAAAGGACCAATATGCCATGCTTTTCTTCCAAGTATCTTCCTGTAATAATCTGCATAAACATTTTCAAGTTCATAAAAGCTGTTAACAACCACTCCAAAGCTCTTAAGTTCTGATTCCTTTGCTTCATGTATTAGTTTAACCATTCCTTCGAATTCCTCTGAGTTTTCGAAAGGTGCTGTCTGCAACCTAGTCATTTTAATCTCACCGGGAAGATTAGAAATAACAAAGGATTCAGTATCAGAAGAAACATTTCTGAAAGGTTGATAGAGTCTCATACACTCTGTAGCACACAAGGAAAAGAAACAAGTTCCATGAAACACAAGTCTAGGAATTCCGAATTTGAGAGCAGAATCAGTCACCCATGGGAAAAATATGTCGGCAACAATACAATCTGGGTTTTGCTCGAGCAGTAGTTCCTCGAGTGGCTTCTGTAACAACTTTGTGGCCAAACAGAAGCTAGGAAACCATTCCGGTGAAGGGATTGAATCAACATTTTCACATCCATTTGGTAAACCAGCCTTTGAGGAAGGAAATGGTATGGTTTGAATATGAATATTGTGACCAATAGTTTTGGATTTTTGTATAGCTTTGGAGATAATAGGTTCATTGAGAGGTGTGGTAATAATTGTGGCTTTGACACCTTTTGCTGCAAATAATTTGGCCATTTCAATGGTGGGTATGATATGGCCATGACCCATGAAAGGAAAGAAGAAAATGTGTAAAAAACTACCCATCTTCTTCTTCTTCACTAAGAGAGCAAGTTCAATTTGGTATATACATCTATTTCAGAGTGAAGCATTTTATAAGGATACAATTTTATATTAAGTACCAACCTTTCTTTGAATAGTTATTGGGGTGTTCAAAAATCTATTTCCTAATTAATTCTTTCACCAACTTATCTTTTTCTCTATTTAATTCTTTCATTTTCCTTTCTTAACTTAATCCTCAATAGAAAAGACATGAAAAGTTAGGCAACTATCCTTTTATGATAATACTTATCTGATTCCTCCGTATTTAATAAGCATGCTAATGTCCGCACTCATTTATTTTCTCTACATGCTAAATTAAACACCTTGATTTATTTTATGAGAAATGTTAACTAATGTTATAAGAACTCTAAATCTTAGACTCAATAAAAATATATGTTTTTAAAATATTCAAAATTAAAATGATTATTATTTTTATTTGAAATTCTTAAAAAATGCCTCTAGAATACTGGTTTCTAATTCTATCTCGTTAAGAAGACCTTTATTTTATAACAGAAATATTTTAGTAATTTATAGTTGTGGCCAAATGAGCACCAATTTCTCATTAATCTTTGCATTGTTGAAAGCGGTTAAATTCTGATATTTTTGGAAATTTAACATGTGTAATCGATTACCACTAATCAAATTTCAGTAGATACTTGAATTTAATAGCATGACCACTTTAGTTGGTTTTTGTTTTTTTAGATTATTTTATCAAGTGTATAAATATATTTTGTAATTTTCAATTCCAATTAATGCCAATTTTAATTCATCCAATAATACTCTCTACCCTAATTCTCTTTCTCTCTCAACTTCATCTTCTTCTCCAATTTCTTTTCCACCATTGTTACTACCTTCAATCTCTGCTTTTTGTATGTTGTTCTAACATTTGGCATCATGAGCACCGATTATTGATCCTAATCCGCTGCAACAATGGCTACCGTTTCTAATGATCGAATTCCCACCAACCTCCTAATTCTTGATTTGAAGAACTACGACAAATGGGCGAAACAAATGAAGGTTATGTTTGGTTATCAAGAGGTTCTTGAGATCGTCATCAATTAAGTTACACCGTTAGGGGCAGATGCTACCGAAGCTATTAGGGCTACACGCAAGGAAGAAAAGAAGAAGGATTACAAAGCCCTATTCTTGATTCACTCTTGTGTTGATAACGACAATTTCGAGAAGGTTGGCGATTGTGAATCCGCGAAGCAAGCATGAGAAATCTTGGAGAAAGCATATGACGGTGCCGTCAAAGCGAAGGTGGTAAGGTTACAAACTTAAAAACTTCAATTCGAGTTAACGCAAATGGAGGACAAAGAAACGATCAACGATTACATTACACACATTACCCAGTTAGTTAATCAAATCAAGTCATGTGGCGAAACGATTCTTGAACAAAATGTTGTATCGAAAGTGTTGCGTTCGTTAACATCACGGTTCGATAATATAGTTGTGGCTATTGAAGAGTCAAAGGACCTAACTACTTTGAGCAAGGATGAGTTGCAAAGTTCGTTAGAGACGCATGAACAAAGGATGGATGAGAGAGGTGCCGACAAAGCCAAAGCGGAGATCGCTTTGCAAGCATGTTTTAATGAGAAGAATAAGAGGTCGAAAGGAAAATTTGCAGCTAGAGGTAAGCCAAATTTTTAGAAGTTTGGTGCAAACGAGTCTCAAAATTTGAAGAATTCGACGGGTAAAAAGGGTGAGAGCAGCTCCAAGGAGAGTGGTCATAGCAATGGTATCAAAAGGGATTTGAGTAAAGTGCAATGTTTCAAGTGTAAAAAGTTTGGACACTTTCAATCTATGTGTCGTGTTAGATTGAATAAAACTCGAAATGATGAAGCCAAGGTTGCTAGAGAAGAGAGAGATGATGAAGACACCCTTCTAGTGATGATCACAAAGGAGAATTATGGCACTGTTGATGTTCAAAACAGCGGCTACTGTGGTGATAGTTTGCGGGACAACAGATGTACTATTTCGGAAAGTGGTGAGAAAATGCATTAGTTACCGTGCGTGATGGAGTTCAAAGTAAAGACGAATGATACTTGGATTCCGGTTTTTCAACACATATGACGGGTCAGAAGGATTGGTTTGTGGAAATCAATCAAGCGGCAAAAAGTAAAGTCAAGTTTGCCGACGACACCACTTTAAGCGTCGAAGGGGTAGGAGATGTTTTGATCGGAAGGAAGAATGGTGGACATTCAAGGATCAAAGATGTCTTGTACATACCGGGAATTAAGTGCAATCTTTTGAGCATTGGCCAATTACTTGAAAGAGGGTACTTAATTCGGTTGGAGAATAAGATGTTACGCGTTTTAGATTCAAGTGGTGTGTTGATTCTAAAAGCGCCGATGGCTGCCAATAGAACTTTTAAGGTTGAGTTAAAGGTTATTGAGTATCGTTGTTTAGCTACCATGGCAAGTAGAGATGAGTGGTTATGGCATTACTGTCTTGGTCACCTAAATTTTAAGGATCTCAAAATGTTGCAACAAAGTGAAATGGTAATGGGGCTGCCACATATTAGTGTTCCGACAGAATTGTGTGAGGAATGTGTGACACTACAAGAAATCCTGCAGTTTCCCAAGTGATATTCACGTCACTAACATAAAAACCACTTCACTAAAAAAATTTGCGACGTGGGTAAAACACGTCAGAAATGCAAAGGTGGGAACTTTTTCCCACGTGGTAAACACGTCACAAAGTTGTCACATGGTTACCACGTCGCAAACCACAAAAGAAAGAGGAAATGTTCCCACGTGAAAACCAAGTCACTAATTAGTGACGTGAAAACCATGTGGGAACATTACTTTACCAATTTTCTCTGCACGCTGGCTGACACAATTATATTTTATTACCCACGTGATATCCACTTCACAAAGTTGTGACCTAGTTTTCACGTGGGAAACCATATTGAATTAATATTCTTCCCATGTGATTCCCACGTCACTAATTAGTGACATGGGATCCACTTCACTATTTAAATTAATTATAAAAAAAAAAATTAATATTAACTGAAAGCTTCTATAAAATTAAAATAAATTTTAAATTTTAAATATAAATTTTAAATTAAAATAATTTTTAATTAAAATAATATACATTTAAAATATATAAATATTTAGTTACATGAAATTCACGTCACAAATACAAATAATAATAATAAAAGTTGTGACATAGTATTCACGTCACAAATAAAAATAATAATAAAAAAAATTATTCTTCGTCACTAAATGATTCATCTTCGTTTTGGTCATCATCTCTGGGAGAATAATTCGATCTCGAGGCAAAATATTTTCGCATTTGTGCCTCCATGTCTGATTGTCGCTTCCTCATTTCCTCTATTTCAGCATTTTGTCTGTTTCTCATATCATCCATTTCGGCCTTTAGGGCCGCCTCACGTGTCTCTGCCTCTCGTCTCGCCTCAGCTAGAGCTAACTGTCTCACTGTTGCCAACATTTCTGGTGTTAATTCTGCCGGACGCGATCCTCCTTCCCCGTCATCGAGTCTCTGAAATAAAGTTCGGTCCCCTTTTCTATAATCACCAGCCAAAGACCCCAGACCAAAAAAACATCCATTAACTCTCTTCCCGCCTACTGTTAAATTCCAAATATAAAGATCAACACGTGGATCAAGCGGTGCATCCCCAATCGGCGTATATTGAGGATTTTCAGTTAGAAATTGGGCAAGCAATGTCTGGTACAACTCCTACACACACATTAAAAAAAATTAAATTAAATATAATTTAAACAATTTAATTATATAGTAATTATGAAATTAAAAGAATTCAACTAAAATAAACAAGTTACCAAGGTTGATTTGGAACGACCGTCAACAAAGTCGCCCGATTTTTTGGTTCGAGTCTTCACAAATAGCTCATTAATTCGTGGCTCCCTCCCCAAGTCCTTTTTCTAATTAAAATGATGAAGCTTAATTAAATATATAATAATACAAAAAAAAACTTTAAAAAATAGTTATAAATATATAATAATACTTTAAAAACTTTAAAATGATGAAGCTTAATTTAATAATATATTATGTTTACTAAAATAAATATATATTAAAAAACTGTTTTATTATTTAAAAAACTGTTTTATTAATATATTATAATTTAATAATTTAATAATATATTGTGTTTACTAAAATAATATATATTAAAAAACTGTTTTATTATTAAAAAAACTGTTTTAAATTCATTATTTTTAAAGTATAATATAAATTCACTAAAATAATATATTATACTAATATAATAACATATTTAAAGTATAATATATATTCTTTTTTTTTCAAAGTATAATATATATATATTCAATATTTTTATATTCATTATTTTTTTAATAATATATATTCATTATAATATATTTTAAAATAATATATATTCATTATTTTTATATTCATAATATATATTCACTATATATTAAAAAAACTGTTTTATTATATTCATTAAATTAATAATTTATTATGTTTACTAAAATAATAACTGTTTTATTACTAAAATAATTTATTATATTCATTAAATTAATAATTTATTATTATTTAAAAAACTGTTTTATTATTTTTAAAAACTGTTTTATTAAAATAATATATATTATATGTTTACTAAATTATATTAACTATTTAATAATATATATTATTCTATAATAGGTATAATTGATTTACTAAAAATCACACAACATATTATTTAATTAAAAATCTGTTTAAAAATATATATACATAACACAACATAATATATATTATGTTTACTAAATTAAATCTGTTTTTTTAATTTGTTTCAAATAAATAATCTATTTTTTAAATTAAAAATCAAATAATATATTATTTTTATTTTTGCTTTCTCAAATTTAAAACAACAACAAACACAATATACAATACATTATCACAATATTTCTAACCTAAAATCTAAAATCTAAAATTTTCTAACCTAAAATTTTCTAACCTAAAATCTAAAATAATATTAACAACAACAACAATAAATATAAACAAATTTAATT